CCCCCCCCTTTTTAAATTAATTTTTAATTAAAAAATCCCTTTATTGCATAGTGAGCGGCAAGTTTTGCCCTTTTTCCCCTAATCAGCAAATGTTGAGTAACTTTCCATGTTTTACTTCAATTACAACATACATGCACCCTTTTATGCAGCAGCAGATCAGCCAAAGGTCAGTCTGCAGATAAGACCTGAAGAAAAGCACTCGTTTTCCTAGAGTTTGATCCTATTGATGAAAAATAACAAACATGCAATGAACGAGATCAACCACCGCCACTGCAGCTTCATTTCTCAACTGTTGCATGGACATAAAAAGTCTCAAATGTGCAAAAGAGACGCATGGTGGCGCCCTCTGCTGCCAGCGGCATATGTTTGCAAGATTTAGGAGTTAATAAGTGCCACTGCTAGAGCAAATCTACTCTGATTGCAGGCCTCAGAGAGCAAAGGCCTATTGGCGGCAGGAGTGCGCATGATTCGCTACTTTTGTTTTTGTACTTTGAAAGATTTCAGCTTTAATGTAGCCCCATACCCATCTTAGTATTTAAATGGAGATTTTATTTATATACAAAATGACACCTAAGTCCAACTCTGTGGACTAAACGGAATTTATGATTTTCTGTAGAGTGTGGAATCTGCCGAGCTGAACTCCGCGCTGACCTACCATGCGTGCTACTTCCTTGTTAGTGAGTCGGTGTGAGAGGGCGACAAGAAGTTTCAGCCCCGCGTAAGTATGTGTGGATTTAGCTAACGTTTTCGATGAAATCTTCCCTTTGGAAAGCTCACCTCGCCGTTTTTACCTCCTCACCGGGGCGACAGCGCTATCCGAGCCATGGAGGCTGATTTAAAGGCGGTTGTGAGGCTGATTTGCTAAGTTAGCACAGGCTTGCTAACACTGTCTTTTCATCATATGCGTGGAACTGGATTACAACTCGAGGCTTTTATTGACTTCTCCGAGGCTCTTTAAGGATTTATCCGATCGATGTGCGTTGTGATGGTTGGATGCGGCGGATTCGGTGTGATCCGGTTGGGAACGGTCGCTGTGTGAACACACAGACGCTTAGCCGTGCTAGAATAGCGCTTAAAGTGGGTTTCAAATGTTTTGCTTTGTTTGCCGGGGACTGAAGCGTGAGCGATAAAAGTGGGATATTAAATGCCGAACACGGAGATCGTTCCCCGCGAGGGCCGGGGGAGAAGCCCGCCGCCGCAAAGTAGTCAGAGGGAGGCGAGACGGAGCAAGAGCCGCCGCGAGCGGCACCGGGAGAAGGTGCGATCCTCGTCGTCCTCCTCCCGGAGAAAGAAACACAAGCACGCCCGGGAGAAGCAGCAGCAGTCGTGGCAACAGCAGGAGGTGCTTTACGACGGGGATGTTCGGACATTAGTGGAGTACGACGACGTGAGCTCGCAGTCCGAGCGCTTCTCCGGTAGCCCGTCGCCCAGAACCGACACGCTGTCCGTGGACCGGCTGAGCGAAGCCGAGCTCCAGGACTCCAGCTACGGCGGCGCTTCCACGCCGGGCAGGAGGGAGCACAACTCGTCCTCACGGAGGAAGGACGGAACCGGCGGGTCGGCGGAGAAGGGACGCCAGGAGAAGGAGACGAAGAGGAACCGGTCCAGCCCCGCGTTCAAGTCCCGCAGCGGCGTGAGGAATCACGACAGCAACGGCAGGAAGCCTTCGTCCGCGACCCAAGCCGACAAAAAGGAGTCGAAGCGACACAAAAGCAAGTCCAAATCCGAGAAGGACCCTCCTTCTGCCTACAGGGAACCGCCGCAGGCTTATAGGGACGACCGGGAGGAGCTCAGGCCCTACTGGAGGAGCAGTCCGAGCTTCAAAGCAGCGGAGAGTCCCTACGGGGCGTCTTATTCCTACGGACACCAGTCTCCTAACACAAACTTCCCGTTTATTTCCAGGAGGAGCCCCAAGAGGCTCTCACCGAGCTCGACCTACTACGGTCGCGATTCAGAGGTGCACGGTGCCTATAACGTGTCGAAGTCGCCGAGTGGTAAGAGGAAGCGCTCCCCGTCCAGCCCGTGCTGGCGCAGGTCTCCGAGCTACGGCCGACACAGTCCCTACGAGCAGGGCGAGGTCACCTGCAGCCCGTACGGCCAGCGCAGGCGCTCCCGGAGCCCCAGTCCGGACGGCAGGTAAGACGCTGTCACGCTTATACGGGCGTTTAAAGCGGTCGCCGTGTGGTCTTGTGTACTGAGAGAGGCTAATTGTAGGTTACGCGTGGGTTAGCGACTATACTGGATTTGTAAATGGTGTATAATTGGATAATATTGGAAGGAGTACAACGTGTGACTCGATTCGTTTTGAGTCGGTTCACACAACCGCTGTGAACGAATCAATCCGAGCGGTTCTCAGTTATCAAAACGAGCCGAGAATCGACGAGTTGAAGTGAATCGAGTGTTTGACAGATATATGGCAAATTTGAACAGAGAATCGACTCTTTTGATTAATTCATTGATTCTCGGCTTGTTTCGATAATCAAAAGAGTCGGTTCTCTGTTCAAACTCGCCATTTATCGGTCAAACACTCGATTCACGGCTTGTTTTGATAACTGAAAGAGTCGGTTCTGTGTTCAAATTTGTCACACCAGTCAAATAACCAGTTCACTTTAATTCATCGATTCTCGGCTCGTTTCAATAAAGTGAACCGATTATTTGACTGATGTGACAAATTTGAACAGAGAACCGACTCTTTCAGATATCAAAATGAACCGAGAATCGACGAGTTGAAATGAATCGAGTGTTTGACCGATGTATGGCGAGTTTGAACAGAGAACCGACTCCTTCGATTATTGCGCCATTTATCGGTCAAACACTCGATTCACGGCTTGTTTTGATAACTGAAAGAGTCGGTTCTGTGTTCAAATTTGTCACACCAGTCAAATAACCAGTTCACTTTAATTCATCGATTCTCGGCTCGTTTCAATAAAGTGAACCGATTATTTGACTGATGTGACAAATTTGAACAGAGAACCGACTCTTTCAGTTATCAAAATGAACCGAGAATCGACGAGTTGAAGTGAATCGAGTGTTTGACTGAGGGTTAAAAGTTATTTACTTTGACTTAACATTAGCATACATTTTACATATAAAGCTTACTTGATGTTTATTGGACTGTATGAGTGATTTAAAAAAACAAAACTTAATTGTTTTTAACAAATAGCCTAGCATTTTATACAATGCACAGACTTGTTCAGCTAATCGATGTAAATTAATCTTATTATTGCTTATTGTAATGCACATTTTATTTATTGTCTGTGACTTCTATTTTATTCGGGTTGCGTTTTTCTTTTCTTTCATTTTAGGGTTTATATTACAAATCCATACCATGGTAACCTTAATTTCTGCCACTACTTTAATCAAAAGATTTATTTAAAATAAATAAAGCTACTTACACTGTTAAACAAAGATCATTTATTATTATTATTATTATAATAGTAGATTAACAAACTGTAATACAAATGGTTACCATGCTGTATTAATTGGCTGAAACTATGAAAATGATATTATTGTGCTTTTATAACAGCTTGTGATTGTTGCTTTTCTCTGTCGGATGCAAATGCATTTCCAGAAGTGTATAAAACTGTATATATTGTTTTTGCTTTTGTATAATTTGCGCATTGTTTTTTTATAACTCAGGCCTACAAAAGATGTAACTCCAGTCTCACATTCCGTACAGAATACCACAATTCTTTCCTGTTACAATTCATACGCTTTCGTTTTTAACGTAAATAAATCTAATTTAATATGACAGAGCTTCACAATCAATAGAAATGTCAGATTGTGCTGTTATTTTCTGACTGCTGTAGACTTCACTGGCATTTTTGAAGACCATACAACCTTTATTTGTTTACCATTTTAGTTATAATCAGCACACAAGTGTAGAAGACCTTTCGATTTGATTCGTTTGAGCTTAAAATAGTCGTTGCACCCACTGTTGACTCTTTCCACACTCTGTGAAGACCGAGGCGCACACGAGTTGGTTGGGCTCACGTGAATCGCAGGCTTTATAACGAGAGTCGAGCGGCCCCATGGCTTAAGCACGCACTGGAGGCTGAAGCCTAGACTTTACAACATGAGCATCTGCTTTCTACCTTATGAGTTCAAAAATGTAAGTCGTATGCGAGCTTCATAAAGGGCTTGTCAGTTGTTGTATTAGGCATAATGACGGTTGTAATTATAAACCAGATAAGTGTAAGCTCAGTTTGAGAAGCACGTGCGTTTTCATTGGCTTCGTCAGTCATTATGTGGCTTCGTCCGCTTCGCTGTCAGATGATTGCACAAGCAAATAGCAGAGACATTGATCATAGACTGTGGATTATTTCCATTCGCTTTAGTTAATAGTAAATTCTAAAAGTGTTTCAGCATAAAAAGCTGTTTTGTTTAGGATGAAGGCCACATATTTGCCATTCCTTTTGCAAATGCCCGTTTGGTAACTAAATATAAGTTCCATGTAATTTAGTTTCAGCATTTAGCTCTGTCTTTCCATTTAGCGATTAACGACTCTCAGATCGCTTAAATGCAGTTTGCATTGTAACAAGGTAAAAGCCTTGGTAAGTGGTTTAATAAGTAACCACTGATGATCAAAACACTTACACTACTAGGGCTGCACAATTAATCGATTACAATTACGGATGTTACAATTGCGTAATACTTCAAAGCGGCAAGTAATCGTTCAAAGTCCACTTATGTTGTTCTGTGTGCTTAAGATGTGTTTTTTCTTTCTACAGGTTATCTTAAAGGTTTTCCCATTGTTTCAATTTCAGTTAAATTATAATACCATTCATATGTTCACTTTTTTATTTAAAGAAGAAACCAATCTAGTGTATATTTGACATTTGAGGCTTAATACTATAGAAAAGCAATACGTTTTTCAGTTAGTGTTTTCAGCTTGTTTATTTTCATCTAAAAATATGGCATGCAGTTGCTTCAAACAAAGTATAAACATCATTCAAAGTAAATTGTAATAATCGCAATTACAATTTCAAGAGAATAATCGACAGTTATGATTTTTGTCATAATCGTGTAGCCCTATACACTAGCGTTCAGAAGTTCGGGGTCAGTCATATTGTTTTAGTGTTTCTGAAAGAAGTCTCTTCTGCTCACCGAGGCTGCATTTATTTGATCAAATATGCAGTAAAAATTATGAAATATTATTACAATTTCAAATAACTGCTTTCTATGTGAATATCTGTTGAACTGTAATGTATTTCTGTGATGCGCAGCTGTATTTTCAGCATCATTACTCCAGTCTTCAGTGTCACATGATCTTCAGAAATCATTCTAATATGCTGATTTGCTGCTCAACAAACATTTCTGATTATTATCAATGTTGAAAACATTGTGCTGCTGAATATTTTCATAGAAACTGATATTCTTTGATGAATATAAAGTTGAAAAAAACACAATTTATTTGAAATGTAAATTAAAACTTTATACATTTATACATGCTTAAAAGTATTAATTAAAAATTCTGACTGACTTCAGACTTTTAAATAGTAGTGTATGACTTTCTGCTGGAAGACACAAAATGCTCTTTTCTGCACAGTGAACATACAGTAACCACAGGCTTTCAAGCTCCAAATATAGTAAAATTAGATTAATAAAATTAGTCAGTAAGACTCATTGACCATATTGTCAGATTCTGGAGCCATTTGATAGATGTGTGTGGGGAACAGACCGAAGTGTGAAGGGTTTTCACAATGACATCCAGATATCAGTCAGAGATTTCTCAATATCCGCCAACACAGCTCTATAGTAATGAGCAATGACAGTGCAGACACAGTGAGCTGTTGCTTGATGCACAGGGCTTGCAAAATTTACAGGCATTCTTCAGATTTTAGTAGCTCAAAATGAATTTGACTAGCCCGAATAAAAAAAGATATCGGCTGAACTTCACTGTGGACAAAATCAGCGTGATCAAAAAGTTCAGTGATTGTATTTTTTCTTCAAATAAGTCAGAAAAATCGGGGCAAAAACAAAAGTGTTGCTTTTATAATTTTGTTCAGTATATATATATATATTTATATTTTTTTTTTAAGAGCATTTAAAGAACACTTTAAGTACCTCTTTACCACAGCAAAAACTAGAAGCATAACTAATAAAGGTCAAAAAAGTATTATAAGAACAACTAAACAAATGAAGAGAGTACTTGCTGTTCAAGCGCAAGGAGACACGAAAGAGGAATCAGTTCTGAGTTTGCATGCTTTATGAACCGCGGCTCTCTCTGTGTGTGATTTTATTTCACTATTCAAGATAGAAATCATCCCCTCCACTGAACTCTCAAATATCAATTTCACATATTCAAACCTCATCAAGTTTGAATTTGTGCATATGTGAACGTGATGCATAAATGTGCGCTGCGTTTATATTGTTTGCTGCTTCAAATGTTCAAGTCAGGTGGATTCTGATTGGCTGCCAATTAGAGCTGCATGAGTAATCGTTAAAAGATTGTGATCTCAATTCAAAGATCTTATTCCTAAATGACAATGATTTGCCTATATCGATTAAACCTTTGACAAGTACAATTAGGGCTGCACGATTAATCGAATGCGATTGTCATGCGCATTTTGTTAGTAAAGCTGGTTCTGTAATCAGCAGTAAATCACATCACGTGCTTTCAGATGGAGCAGAATTTTCTACACATAGCCGTAGTTCACTGACAATTACGCAAAAAAAATCGCGTGATTATACTGAGAGATACGCATGACAATCGCAGCTTCGGTCGAATCGCGATCTCGATTCCATTTCGATTGATCGTGCAGCCCTAAGTACAATCACAGCAAACATTCAAACTGTAACAGAAGTACTGGGATAAACGTTATAGTTATATAAATGTTATAGTTCGGATATAAACACTGGTGTCTACTGTAGTGATCAAAATAGAGTAAATCACCTTTTAAAAGTAAATTGAGGCTTCAAATAAAGATTGCAGATTACATTTATGCCAGTAGGTGGCGACAAGTGACTTAAATGTATTTCATTGAATCATTCACTCAAGAGATTTATTCAAAAACACTGATTCATCCAGTAATGAAACAAGTGAAGCCTTTATGAGTGATTCATTGAATCATTCGTTCAAGAGATTTATTCAAAAACACTGATTCATCCAGTAATGAAACAAGTGAAGCCTTTATGAGTGATTCATTGAATCATTCGTTCAAGAGATTTATTCAAAAACACTGATTCATCCAGTAATGAAACAAGTGAAGCCTTTGTGTTCATTAAATCATTCACTCAAGAGATCCATTCAAAAACACTTGATTTATCCAGTAATGAAACAAGTGAAGTCTTTGAGTGAGTCATTGAATTATTCATTCAACTTGATAAAAAAGTAAATCATTCAAATTAATTGGATGTTTTTAAATAGACTGCAGCAATTAAGAAAATTACATGCTATTTTTAGTTGTCTGTTCAGAATCGTGATCTCTATTTTTTAAATTTATTATTAAATCGTGATGCTCAGTTTCTCCAGAATTGTGCGACTCTACGGTTAATGTTTTTCATTCACCAGATGCGAAAAAATCATATCGAAAGTTATTCCAATGATATCGCTCCCCTGTGTCTGCTCAAAAATGACTCTGTTCCTGACACAAAGCTATCGCATGACTTCAGAAGACTTGTAATATAGTTTGCATGTCGTATAAACTGCTTTCTTGTGGCTTTTTATGGTGCTTTTGTCATTTTTGACAGATGATCTCTGCTATTTTCTTTGTATGCAAAAGAGAAGGCAAGAAGGTCTAATGGAATTTCTAATTTCGTCTTCCATGGAAGAAAGAAGATCGTGCAGATTTACATTTAATTCATTCTGCTCTTGCTTTCAGGCGGACTGGAAAGTCCCGCAGCAGGAGCCCGTACCAGTCCTCCCGTCATTCTCGCTCACGCAGCCGTCACCGGCACTCACGGTCCTGCAGCCGGCCCTCCAGTCTGTCCCCCAGCTCCCTGACCCTGAAGAGCAGCCTGGCCGCTGAGCTCAGCAAGCAGAAGAAAGCCAAGGCTGCCGAAGCCGCCCGCGTCAAAAACTCCAGCAATGCCTCCACCCCGACCAAGGGCTCCTCATCGTCCTCCAGCGCTCCCCAGCCCAGCCCCGTCACCAACCACACCACCAAGAAGACCAGGCCTCCCTCACCGCCGCCGGTGTCCGAGAAAGGCCCCAGAACCCCAGCGTCCAGTCAGCCGCAGTCTCCTGTGGATCGACCCACCAAGAAGAGCTCAGACGCCTCGCAGTCCAGCAGAGAAGTCAAGGTGAAGGAGGAGAAAAAGAAGGGAGGACAGCCAATGCAGGTCAAAGACAAGGACCGAGAGAAAGCAGCTGCTCCAGCCGTAGCCTCTCTTCCACTGGCAGCCAACAATCTGGATCATCTGGATGGAAGCGACAGGTTTGATATATCATTGATCTTTGAAAACAGGACATCTGAGTATTTCACTCATTGCTTTCGAAGTTCACCAAGGTTTTTGCAGGTTCTCAATTTAAGACTTTTTAAAGACCTATTTAAGACAAAGTGAAGAAAATTCAAGGGCCAAATTGAATGGATCATAGTAGAGCCCGATTTTATCGGCCGATATGAGCCTGTCGCAGATATATCGGTATCGGTGTATATGTCGCCGATATTAACTTCTGTTTTACAGAACATAAAACGCAGATAAAATTCTTGTAAATGGTTTGCTACTGGCGATCTGGATGAAACGCTTTAAAGCTTAAGTGTATGGAATACCATTGAAAATTTGAACAGCCATATCTCCGTAACGACGCGGGGGATCCGCACCAAATTCAGGGGATCCCTTCAGCTTGTACTATAATATACACATAAAGAATATCGGCCGATATATCGATATCGGCAGTTTTTTACTCCCTAATATCGGTATCGGCATCTGCCCTCAAAAAACCCATATCGGTCGGGCTCTAGATCATAGTACATCAGTATATTCTGTAATTGTGAATGTATAGAGAGCTGAAAATGAGTTGTATTAACAACAGTTTGAAAATACAACTTCCAACAGATCTCCATTACTTATTAAAGCTTAACTAGAATATGAAAAGAACTTCTACTGTACATTCGGAATAGACTGCAAAAAACGCTGTCCTTTCTCAATATTTTTGTCTTGTTTGTCCAGTGTAAATGTCTAAAGACTCTTAAATCAGTATACATTGAGAAATAAAGTCATGAGAAATTGATCAAAATGTTCATGACTTTATGAGTTTATGATTAAAAGAAGAAAAAATATTTGCCAGTGAGCTCAAAAAACTAACTTAATTCAAACGGAAAACGTTTTCATTCCTCATTGGCAGATATTTGTTCTTGTTTTAAGCATAAACTCACTTCATTTTGTTCAATTTCTCAGAAAACAAGACTTCATGTGTTCATTTTGCATCTCAGGTAAATGTATTTTGATGTTTGTCACACAAAACAATTGGAGGATATTATGTTACCTTTTTTTGCAGTGCATGCAACATGTAATGCCATGACTTTAGACTTTCTGCTCTGATTTGTGGAAGGGCGGATTGAGACTTTTTAAGACCTGCAGAAACCTTGGATCCACACTTTGTTGGATTGTGCATTGTTTTTAATGTATCCACTGAAAGCCTCCTTTTTTCCAATAGCAGTATCTTGAAGGAGTCTTCAGCAATCACAGGGAAGAAGAAACCCGAAAGGAAAGCCCGTCACCTCCTCGCAGACCTCCCTCTTCCTCCAGAGCTCCCTGGTTCACCCCACAGCCCGCCTGATGACAAAAAGACGCCCACCCCGCGGAAGAGACCAAAGTATGTAGTCAAACAGCCCCTCCTGAGACATCTACTCAGGTTAGCAACATTAAACCTCATCTGTGGTTGCATTGCAGAATATGTGGCCCACGCTTCGGAGAGATCAAGGAGACGGAGATAGACTGGGGAAAGCGATGCGTTGACAAGTTTGAGATCATTGGGATAACTGGAGAAGGTACTTATGGACAGGTGTACAAAGCCAAGGACAAAGACACTGGTAAGATGTTCTCAAACGATTATATATTCCATGACGATAGAATTGATGTCTGTGCTCAAATGCCTTAATTTGAATGCTAATGCATTCTGAGGCAATTAATCACTTAATGTAGCTCATCCATCTTTCTGGTGTTGCTTATTCAGCGGAGTTGGTGGCCCTAAAGAAGGTCCGTTTGGACAATGAGAAAGAGGGCTTCCCCATCACAGCCATCAGGGAGATCAAGATCTTGCGGCAGCTCAACCACAAGAGCATCATCAACATGAAGGAGATCGTCACTGACAAAGAGGACGCTTTGGACTTCAAGAACGACAAAGGTATCGCATGGAAATGACCCATCCTTTGGCTCGGAGTTTCTCCTCGCTGTGTCGGTGTGATAATTGTGTTTTCATCTCACAGGGGCGTTTTACCTGGTGTTTGAGTACATGGACCACGATCTGATGGGCCTGCTGGAGTCGGGCCTTGTGCACTTCAACGAGAGCCACATCAAGTCTTTCATGAGGCAGCTGCTGGAAGGACTGGACTACTGCCACAAGAAGAACTTCCTGCACAGGGACATCAAGTGCTCCAACATCCTGCTCAATAACAAGTCAGTGCAAACTAGATTAATAGTTTCATATTCGGTTTGTTTTCGGGGGCTAGAGGGAAGAATATCGGCTTGAATGGTAATGAAATTAACATTATGACAGCGGTAGATAAGCTGCTTGTTCTAGTTTTATTAGGATGACAGAATAAGGGACGTATTAACTTTCACAGACAGACTTTGCAGATTTCGCAGATCGTTGTATTGTTACAGTGTCTGTAGTTTATGTAAATAGACAGTGTGTTCTCTCTCTGCTAGCTGCACCCAGATATGCCTGTTTATTTGTCAGGGAAAGTATGCCAAAACACGTATGTCTTTTGTGAAAACTACAGGTCGTACTTCCACATTTTTCCATCCCCACTCATGGACTTTCATTTCAAGCCCAGTGCATTATGGGCATTGAAGTTTTCTTACCTTTTTGCTAAAAGGGAGCACAACAGCTCTTTTGCTTTTTTTTTTTTTTTTTTTTTTAGTCACGTAGCACCAAAGTAAAAATTAAATTTTGTATTTCTACTCTGGCTGGGAGATATAGTAAAAAATGCAGTCTTTCTCTCTTTTTTTTAAATTTTTTTTTTATACTTCGTTTGACCGAATGCAATTCTATTTTAATGTTTAAGTTGAAAAAAACACATTCGCTTGATAAATACCTTTGCAGAAACTTTATATAGGTAAGAAATTGTACATTCAGGAGCTGGTTTTTCAACCCCTGCCCCGTGAATTTTAGAAATACTCGACATGAATTATATAAATAATTTTAATAGCACGGCCATTCAAAACCTGAGGGTCTACCATGTGCGTAGTAAAGCGATAACGTCAGACAATCCTTTTGGGTGGGAATTAATTTAAACACAGATATCGGATACCAGTCATGTCTAAAGTGAATGTAAACAGACGGGCCAAAAAAATGGGATATGGTCAAAAGATCGGATCTGTGCATTAAGACTTGCAGTGTAAGTACATCCTAATGGACCAAAATGAGATCTGAGTCTACTTTTAAAGCCAGAAATGGGTTGAGTGCAAAGTGAACTGGGTTCTTTCACTTTTTGGTCCACTTAAAGTGGTCTAATCTCTTTTAACCCTTTAGAACCTGAAGCTAAAATAAGTCATTTTTTACGTATTTTACAGCCAAAAAAAAATACAATTCTAAAACAATATGCTATCTTCAAGTGCAAAGTGTCATTATTTTCAGAAAACAATTAGCTTTCGATAAATTACGCAGACAATCCTTTTGGGTGGGAATTAATTTAAACACAGATATCGGATACCAGTCATGTCTAAAGTGAATGTAAACAGACGGGCCAAAAAAATGGGATATGGTCAAAAGATCGGATCTGTGCATTAAGACTTGCAGTGTAAGTACATCCTAATGGACCAAAATGAGATCTGAGTCTACTTTTAAAGCCAGAAATGGGTTGAGTGCAAAGTGAACTGGGTTCTTTCACTTTTTGGTCCACTTAAAGTGGTCTAATCTCTTTTAACCCTTTAGAACCTGAAGCTAAAATAAGTCATTTTTTACGTATTTTACAGCCAAAAAAAAATACAATTCTAAAACAATATGCTATCTTCAAGTGCAAAGTGTCATTATTTTCAGAAAACAATTAGCTTTCGATAAATTACGGGTATTGACTATTATTGTGTGTTGAGAGTTTGTAAATAGAAGTTAAATTCAGTAAAAAGAAAAAAAATTGAATTTTACTGATTTTTATTTAGAAAACACAAGAACAAAAGAATCGAACAGCTCAAACTTGAAAACTGGACTATAATGCATATATACAAGTCTTTTTTGTGACACTGGGTTTCACAGTCTTCACGCGGGATACTTTTTTATTTTTATTTTAACGCATGCAAATACACACACGCAAATCTCTGTACTTCTCCGTTCAATTTTTTTTCCTTTTCACGCTTCCCGAAAGCTGCGACGCGGTTTGCTGAGGGAATTCAGGACATTCGCGAAATAAGCTGTATATTGCCGAAAAGCGCACGAGGTCAATTGAATTATTTGAATGATTTGAACATGAATGCAGCTTGGTTGGGTGTGTCGGCAGCCGGTTTAATAGAGGACTCAAGTATGTTAACGTCACTCGAGGACATATTACACCTCCATTAGATCAAATCATTGTGGACTAAACTTCAATATTACAGCAGATCTAACGTCTGATTGATGTCTGAATGTGTGCTGTCCTGCAGGGGTCAGATCAAGCTGGCAGATTTCGGATTGGCTCGTCTGTATAACTCTGAAGAGAGGTACATCTCTTGATTTGATTCACGACTTGATTCAGCAAGCAGTTATGATGTTCGTAAACCGAGTAGACTCTGACTTGTCCTGTGCATTCATTCTCCAGTCGGCCGTACACCAATAAAGTGATCACTCTGTGGTATCGGCCGCCCGAGCTGCTGCTGGGAGAAGAGAGGTACACGCCTGCCATCGACATGTGGAGCTGCGGGTGAGGAAACACTGTGCTGTTACTAGAGAAATCCCTCCAGATTCCACCTCCTCAAGGTGTTTAAACCCTCCATGTCACACAGGTGCATTCTGGGAGAGCTTTTCACAAAGAAGCCCATCTTTCAGGCCAACCAGGAGCTGGCGCAGCTAGAGCTCATAAGGTAACCACATGTTTGTAGAGGGTTGGAGATCCAGCTTTTGCTTTCTGAGATCCAGCTGACCTATATATCTGTGTCCAATCCAGTCGTATCTGTGGCAGCCCTTGCCCCGCTGTGTGGCCAGACGTGATCAAGCTGCCCTACTTCAACACCATGAAACCAAAGAAACAGTACCGGCGGAGGTTAAGGGAAGAGTTTTCTTTGTGAGTAATCAGAAATGAATGAAACCAGTTTAGTCTGTTTTAAGGGCGTTATAGCTCATGACAACAAAGGGTTAAATGGATATACAGGGTTCCTGCGGGTTTTAAAAAGTCTTGACTCGCCCTTCCACAATTAAAGTAAAAAAAAAGGTCTTAAATCAGAGCAGAAAGTCTTAAGTCGAGGCATTAGATGTTGCATGCACTGCAGAAACATGAACATCTGCCTCAGTACTTTGTTTTCTGATTCAAAAATTGTAAACATCCTTAAATTAAGATACATTTACTTCTATGAGTCTTGTTTTCTGAGAAACTGAACAAAAATGAAGTTAGTTTATGCTTAAAATGGGAATAAATATCTATCAGCAACATCAACTTTTGTTTTGTTCAAACTCACTTCATTTTGATCATTTTCTCTTCCTATTTTGTCATTTTGCTTCTGAAGTAAATGTGCTTTGATTTAAGAATCTTTAGACATTGGAAGACGAGTCAGAAATACTGATAAGAGCATCACTTTCTTTGCAGTGTGATAGTCATTTTATTTTTGTAAAATTAATTAAAAAGTAATGGAAATCTGTTGCTTTTACAAACTTTTAAGTGTTGCTTATACATTTGCATTTAGGTACCATATTGAGTATTGTGTTCCATTCAATTCATTCCTTAAATTGTCTTAAAAAGTTATTAAATGTCTTAGATTTACCATCATAAAACCTGCAGAAGCCCTAATATTTTACCCGAGAGTTCTGCTGTAATTGTGAGCTTGTTATTTTTGGTGGGAAGGCGATAGAAAAAATCTCTTTGCTGATAAAGTCAGGAAGCTTTTTAGTGCTGATGCCATAAAATGAAGAGGATCTGCAGTAAGTGTGTAATCAGTGCATTATCTGGTTTATGAATCGCAGGAAAAGTCATTTTGTCACACAAGCCTGTCCCCTCTTAAAGCAGCTATTTTGTGGCAAGCTTTATAGCTGTTCTTCATCAGTGCTTCTTTGCTTCTCCCATGATTTCTTAAATTATCTATGCACTGGTAATTACGTCGTGGTGGTGGTGTTCATGTGCATTTAATTTGTCAATATGATTATTCTGACATGATTTGAAGGCAGCATTAGATGTGTAAAGAATAATGTATACTTCAAGCTGCTATAAGCATGGGTGTCAGTGGTCTCTTTAGCGGCGGCTGTTGATTTGAATGTTTCAGTATTCCTCTGATGGCCCTGGATTTGTTCGACCATACGCTCGCGTTGGACCCGAGCAAACGCTGCACTGCAGAACAAGCTCTCAGAAGTGACTTCCTCAAAGATGTGGACCCAGCCAAGATGCCTCCGCCTGAGTATGAGATTGTGTTGTTTTTGCTTTTACTTTACTATTTTTTTTACTTTTCCATTTACCATATTTGTTTATAATATACCAGATTTTTTTTTTTTTAAGCAGCTATGCTTTTAATTAGTGCGCTGAAAGCTTCCGCTAATTGCTTCCGCTAATTGCAACTTTTTTTTTTTTTTTTAATTAAAGATATAAATTCAGAATTCTGAGGATGAAAGTCTGAATTGTGAGATATAAACTTGCAGCTGCAAGATAAAAAGAGATAGTTGCAATTAACTATTAAAAAATAGGGTTGGAAAATTTCCAGTAAATTTAGGAAACATTCCAGGATTTTTTTGGAATATTCCAGGGATTTTTTTTTTTTTTTTTTTAAGTTTCCGGTAATTTACAGGAAATTTTCCACCCCTTTGCAACCCTATTAAAAAATAATAATTTCATGGCAGGGAGAAAAAAGTTGGAATTTGAGAAACTCGCAATTGCAAGAAGGAAGTGAATTGTGAGATAGAAAGTCGCAATTAACTTTATTATTATAATTTAAGTAAATAAAACACTTTAAAACAGTAATAAAATAAACCTAAACGTGAGTTTTTTGTTTTTTTTTCTTGAAAATTACCCAATTGTGCTTTTATTTCACTCATAATTTTGAATAATCAGTGTAAATTTAATTCCAGCGATTTAATGTATGCTTTATTTTTTCTCGGATTACAGTTTTTCACCTCTGATTCTCTGTGCCGTGATCTGATTCCGTCTCTGTCTCTTCTCTAGTCTGCCTCTGTGGCAGGACTGCCATGAATTGTGGAGTAAGAAGCGGCGCCGGCAGAAGCAGATGCCGGAGGAGCTGACCGCTCCTAAAGCCCCTCGGAAGGAGCTGGGTTTGGATGACAGCCGCAGCAACACGCCGCAGGGCTTCCCCGCCGCCGGAGCACACAAAGGTCCGAGTGCTGCTGCCGCTGCAGCCCTGCTGGGTAAGAACATCAGCACAAACACTGTGTTGTATCCGTCACACGTTCTAGACACACACCAGTTACTCTTTTGTCTTGGGTCAGTAAAAAAAACTACCCAGAACACCCTAGTTACACATTGGCAACCACTTAGCAGCATCTTCACAATAAGCCACAGCACCCTAGCATCGTGGTGGAGGGCTTTAGGCATCAGTTTGCACTAAGCCACATTGTCTCATAGCAGTCAGTAAAGGCTGGAATACACTACACCACATTTAAAATGTGGCCAGATTGGAAAACACTAGGGGCCAGATTTCCTAATCAGGCATATTAGCATTAGAGCACAATCCCATAAAAGCACAGATGGGAGTGTAAAGTTCTGACAATGCACAAATTATAGAATAAATGAAAAAGACGCAGCCGGCTTGTTTCCATTTAATGACAAATGCAATCTATCAAGAGCAGCGCAAATTAGTAACCGTCACAGCCGTGTGATCGCAAAATGGGTTAAGACATGCTTTTCTTGGCTGTTAAATAATGGCGCAAACGGAGTACTGCAAACCTTAGTAAAATCACTTTGCACGATTCATTTAAATCCTCTCCTCCCATCAATTTTGCATCTGAAAGGAAAACGCCTATAAAAAAATTAGTCTTGTCAAAATCCACTGTCTATCAAGCTTATTTTACTGGACTAATACTTCTGCCCCACTGAGGAATTTGTTTTATTCTGTTGGTGCTTTTAAAAAAGGTTTTTAGCCAAGAAAATCAAAGTTTAGTCTTAAGGGTTTTTAGAAAAAATTAGTTTCTTTTGAATAACTAATGCTCGCTTTCGCCATGAATATAGCCATAGAAGAAGGCATGGCTTTATAAAGAAAAGAAACTCCAGCAAATGCATTTGCATTAAGATCAGCCGCAAAAATAACTGCATCCATGCCTTTTCATCACCAGTTTAAATCCTCACAGTAGTTAGGCATCATACACTCGTCGACTTTAATGGTTACAGAGAAAAACTGGGGTTCATACGCTCAATGACTGAGGATCACACACAAGCAGAAGAAACATGGGCCTCATTGTTAGGAGACGCATGACAAAATATTCTAAAATCAGCATAAAATATATCAAAATATAAATGATTGTCCTCTGACGGTATGAAATCAAGCTAAAAAAAACTAATTAGTCTAAGTCTAATTAGCACAGACCCATTCAGACTTTAAATTGTGGCAAAAGTCTTGTAAAGTAGTGATGAAGTCTGATTCTCCTTTTCCGTCTTTCAAAGAAACGTTCAAAAACAAAACACGATTCACTAATTCAAGTAATTACACAATTACATCACATATACACAATTCTATTATTCTATTCTATTATTGAAGCACCACATAATGATGTGAAACATGGGTGTTTTACACCTCTAAAGCATAAAAGTGAATGAGTTGGCATTATAGATATGCGCTGGTATTTTGGCTCATTTCGACTGTCTGGCGCATCAGAAAGTGAGCTTTGATTGAGTAGCTTGACTGTTCAGTTCACTAAAAAAAAACAGCTTTTGAACAGGACATCACTAGTGTAGTGTAGTCCAGCCTTAAGTCTTGTTCACACCGGGACGAATATCGCACGCGATTATCGCCGACGTTTAACGCCTCGTGACTAATCAAAGGGTGCCAATGTGAGTGTGCACACCGACGCGCAAAAGTCGTGTTTTACTTTAACTTCAGCAGCTCCAGGCACGTTAACAAAAGCGCCAATCTCATTGGTCGGCCAGTTTTTAACGCAGCGCGTCGAACCAAAAATACGAGCCCGAGGCGTTTTTTCAAAAATGACGCTTTCATGCCTCGGGCTCATTTTTGGTGGCGCTCAAGCACAAAACGGTCTTGCCCAAGCGCACATTGATACCTAACAACGCAGAGGAAGTAAGTAGACCAAGAAGATGCATCGAGGCAAGATGAATGTAGAGCTGCTGGTCTCATTGGTCTCTGAACACAAAGGGCTTTATGACAAACGCGACAGCGACTACAAAAATCTCGATAAGAGGGAGTTGTTATGGAGAGGAATTGCAGATCAAATAGGATTCGATGTGTACCGGGGTATTTCTGTTTTTCACTAAGCGCCATCTAATGTCAGGGAGTGAATTTGCACGTTCACTCGGCTCATCGCCAGTGAAAATCACTTGGGTATGAACACACAAGACACGTCGAAAAACGTCGGCGATAAGCGCGAGATAATCATCCCGGTGTGTACGAGGCTTTAAGTAGGTATTGAGCTGGTAATGAGCAAACCATTCAATCTTCACTTGTCTTTTTCTTCTAGACCCCAAAGCTCCCAACTCACAACTGACTCAAGAGCAGCTGGCTGTGCTTCTGAACCTCCTGCAGTCCAAAAGCGGCCCGGTGGGATCGGCGCAGTTCGCTCAGACCGTGGGGTCCAAGATGAACCCAGAGACACTACAGCAGCTGACACAGGCTTTGCCCCCTGGGCCACTGGAGTCTGAAAGACCCCCAGAACCACCTCCGCTCCCCAAAGTCTCTAAACCCCCTCAGCCGCCTCCATCGGGGGCCGGAGCGCCCCGCACCCCACCCATGCCGAAGCCGCCTTCGCCCCCCACCCCACAGCAGTCGGTCAAGAGCGACGGAGAGGCCTCGGCCGCAGCCACGCAGACCGCTGTCACCATGCTCCTCGCTCAGCTCCTCAAAGTCCAGCAGGGTGCAGGAGGAGAGGTCCTAGGGTTCGAGGGGCCCGAGGGCGGCGTTTCAAACGCAGCAGGTCCACCTGAGCCCAGCCCTGTATCTCCAGGTAATGCATCCTGTACCTCCTGAACATCTTGGCTGTGTCGGAAATCTCCTATTATCCGAGTAGGGATATCACTTTGGAATTAGAAATAACTTGGATTAAAAATGGATTAAAATGGATGGATTAAAGGGACAGTTCACCCAAAACTGACATTTAACCCATGATTTACTCACCCTCAAGCCATCCTAGGTGTATATGACTTTCTTCTTTCAGACGAATCCAATCAGAGTTATATTTAAAAACATCCTGGCTCTTCCAAGCTTTATAATGGCAGTGAATGGGTGTTATTTTTCAATATTCCAAAAGAAGTCCAATAAAGAGCATCCATTCATCATATAAAGTGTCCCACGTGGCTCCAAGGGGTGAATAAAGTTCTCCAGTAGCGAATCAATGTGTTTTTTAAAGAAAAATATCCATATTTAAAACTTTATAAACCGTAATCTCTAGCTTCCGCTAACTGTCTTGTGCACGTTCACAATAGAACGCCGTTTTTTTTTAAATACTTTTTTCAGGATTCTTTGATGAATAAAAAGTTAAAAAGAACAGCATTTATTCAAAAATGGAAATCTTTTGTAGCGCTATACACTACCATTCAAAAGTTTGGGGTCAGTATTTTTTTTTTTCTTTTTAAATTTTTTTGAAAGAAATGAATGCTTTTATTCAGCAAGGATGTTAAATTTATAAAAAGTGATAAAGACTTGTATTGTTAGAAAATATTTCTATTTTAAATAAATGCTGTTCTTATTCATCAAATAATCCTGAAAAAAGTATCACAGGTTAAAAAAAAGCAGCAAAAACATTCCAACATTCATAATACATCAGCTTTCTGAAGATCATGTGACACTGAAGACTGGAGTAATGATACTGAAAATACAGCTTTAATCACAGGAATAAATTATATTTAAAGTATATCAAAATAGAAAACCATTATTTTAAATGGTAATAATATTTTACAATATTACTGTTTTTTTCTGTATTTTTGGTGAAATAAATGCAGCCTTGGTGAGCAGAAGAGACTTCTTTAAAACACATTAAAGATCTGACTGAACCCAAACTTTTGAACAGCAGTGTACATTAAACAGTGCTCTAAAAACATGACACTGATGTGAAAAACATTTCATCTCACGTCTCACAACCTTGTTTTTTTTTTCCATTCCACTGCCATTTCTCCTGTTTTTTCAAAGCATAAATGCATTCTGTGCAAACAGTTGGTCCTTGATAGAGCTGCGTCATGTGAGCGGTTAATCAGGGCACACGTCATTTGTGACCCTGGAGCACAAAACCAGTCATAAGGGTGAATTTCTCGAAATTGAGATTTATACATCATCTGAATGATAAATAAGCTTTCCAGTGGTGTATGGTTTGTTATGATAGGACAATATTTGTCTGAGATACAACTATTTGAAAATCTGGAATCTGAGGGTGCAAAAAAATCTAAATATTGAGAAAATCATCTTTAAAGTTGTTCAAATGAAGTTCTTAGCAGTGCATATTACTAATCAAACATTAAGTTTTGATATATTTACAGTAGGACATTTACAAAATATCTTCATGGAACATGATCTTTACTTAATATCCTAATGATTTTTGGCATAAAAGAGAAATGTATAATTTTGACCCATACAATGTATTGTTGGCTATTGCTACAAATATACCCCAGCGACTTAACACTGCTTTTGTGCTCCAGGGTCACATTACATTTTTTGTTATCATTGATGTACCGTCAACATGTCTAATTGTAATGTTTGCTAATTTTTATTCAAAACCACAAATATTTCATTTAAAAAAGTGGCAGAATATTACATTGGAATGAATCTATAAAATGAATCCCTCCTCACATTCTGCTTCTCGCGGACTCTATAGCAGGGAAGTGTGAGATTTCAGATGCAGCCCTTGTAAGTTTCTGCTGTTGTGTGTTTTTTTTGCAGAGGCTGAAGGCGGCGGCGGCGGCGGCTTGTCCTCCAGGCCTCTAGAGCCTCTCTCCATTCTCCCGCCGGACCAGAGACCCCCAGAACCTCCGGAGCCGCCTCCCTGCGCAGACCTGGACTACCGGCAGGCCCCTGAGACCCAGCCAGCTCTGCCCTCCTCCGCAGCCCCAGGAGAAGCTCCCAGACCTCCGGAGCCGGACTATCTGACGGAGGGACCCGGGTACGGGCCGGACTTTAGCCGGCCTCCACCGCAGTTCAGCTACCTCGGCCACATGATGCACCCCCACCCGCCTCTCGCCTCGGAGGCCTTCACTCACAGCAGCATGGTGTTTAGCGGAGACCAGGACCATCGCTTCGAGTACAATCACAGCGGACCGCCGCCTCCTTCCGTTCCCCCTCCGGGCCAAGCCTGGACGTCTCCATCCCAACCCCTTCCACTCGGGTTCGTTCCCCACGTGAACACGGCCGCGCTTCGGGGCAGAGGACTCCCTTTTTGATGGGCTCCCGATGAACTTCCGGACGTCTCAGAAAAGGAAGAGTCTAAAAGACACGCGCAGTTGCCCTCAAACCAGCACTAAGCGTCTCCGAACTCGATGTGTGAGATTTCTAAGGGCACTCGAGGAACAGCTTGGAGGGATGGGAGTTTGTGCGTTTCCTGCTCGTACCGTTTCCCCTCCAGTTGGTTTTTGTAATCTATTCTACTGCTGTCTTTTAAATTAAAACTGTACCTTTTTTGAGTGTGCATTTACCGTGCCAGGGTAAGTGTTTTTATGACCTTAGCGTCTCCTTTAATTGAGTAGTGTTACGATGATGTTTTGCACTACTGAATAAAGTAGGTGGAAACTAGCGAAGGTGTGATGGAGGAATGTGCTGTATCTGCACACGTACATGACCAGTAATGTAAATCGTTTTATTTTTTCTTTCCCTTTTTTGGTCAGTTGTTTTTTTCTTCTTCTTCCTTCCTACAATGATGGGCTCTGTCGCTAGGGTAAGTTCGCTGGAGGGTCTTGTAAAGGACTCCGGAGAGACTGGTAGCACTTCTCGACTGAACTGGTGAATCTGCTGAACGAGTGAACTGATCAAAGCTGTGTTTCTCGCCGGTTCCCGCCAGCTCTTGTCTAAAGCCATTGTAAAATCGAAAGAGACGTTTAACTGATTTCGAGGAGATGAGCAACAATGTCTTTTTTTTTTTGTATGAAGATGTTTTTTTTTCCCCCTTTGGCAAATGTTTATTAAAGAAATGCCAATCATGTATTATGTACTGGTATTTTAAATTCTTTATATATTTTTGCATATATCTATAATCAGATATACGCACGCTGCCTGTCTAAGTGTGCATGCATCAAATACACCAGCTGTGAAGTTAAGCTGCTCTATCCAAAAACCATGCAAGAGAGAATAGTTCATGGAAGAATATTGTAGATGTAGTTTTCTGATGCATGTTCGTGAAATGAGTTTGAACACCACTGAAGCAATCTCTTGCAGTGGACTACATATAAAATCCACATTAAATACTTTTATATTTAAATATAGAAAATGAGCTCACTAAATATGGAGGAACAAACCTGCAGAAATACATTAAAAATAAATAAAATAAAAGGAAAATAAAGAAATAAATGACTTGATAAAAACAAATATAGTTCATTTGTAATAAAATTTAACCCTGAATTTGTTTATTACTTTTTCCTTTATGTATTATATTAGTTTATACATTTATTTTTACGTTTATTTTTATTCTTTTTAACCTTTATTTACTTATTCTCTCATTTTTTATATTTATGTATTTATTTATTTTTAAATACATTTATTCATGCGTTAATTTTTTTATATTTATTGTATTTGTTTCCAGATTTATTTATTTGCGAAATAAATATTTTAAAAATATATTTATTGGTAATGAACAAATAAAAAATTCTGGAAATAAATATATGTGGGAGTAAATAAATATACACAAATAAACGCATGAATGATTGAAATTAATTAAACAATTAAAATAATTAAATATAAAAATAATTTAAAGAATAAACATAATTGTAAAAATATACAATAAACATAAATGTTAAACATCTTAAAAAGAATAAACATAAATGTAAAAATACAGAAAATCGTACATATAGTTAAAAGGTAAATAATTTTGGATTAAATTTAATTACAAATTAACTATATTTGTTTTAATCGAGTTATTTCTTTATTTTACTGTTATTACATTTATTTATTAATTTATGTATTTATTTTTAATTTTTAATCTGAATGCATCTAGAATCCGCTCATAGTGCGCTGTTGTAGTGCCTCGTTCAGCCGATAGTGGGCAGCAAAAACAACTTGCTCACTTTCCGTAGCGTATAAATAGCCAAAAAGTCTTGCGATCTAAATGGGGTTCGATGTAGGAAGAGCGAGGTCACGTGCGCAGAGTACGCAGAACCCGGAAGTAAACGTTAGCGTCTTCAACACAAACAGCGCAGGGTTTAGTTGTTTACTTCTCTTCATCGTTCATGTTTAAAGTGCTTGTTTAAAACCATGGCGCAGAAAATCAACGAAGCTCACGAGCACATCGCTAAGGCTGAGAAATGGTAAGTAGAAGCCGTGAATATTTACTGTAGTGGTGCAGCTCAGATCATGTACATAAGAACACAGTGTTGTTGTTATGATGAGAGATGCGTGAATGTCTAGTCTTAACCCATGTTTGCATGTTTAACTGAATAGCCACTGAAGATGAGTGGTTTTAGTTTAGTCCGTGAATGAAAGCAGCAGCTGATGGTGTGAATTCCCCTGATTAATCTCAGCTTGAAGACGAGCTTTATGAAGTGGAAGCCTGATTATGACAGTGCTGCATCAGAATACGCTAAAGCAGGTGAGTGCTTCAGAGTCTGAGCTGAGCTCCTGAGGCTTGATTTCTGATGATCTTCCTCTTCTTCTTCCTCTTCTTCTCCTCCAGCTGTCGCCTTCAAGAACGCCAGACAGCTGGAGCAGGCGAAAGATGCTTATCTACAGGAGGCAGAGGCTCACACCAGCAACAGATCGTATCCTCCTGTTGCTCTTACTGATAGATGACTGATAGATTCATTATTTAGTCTGAAAATCATAAGAGTGCCGCTTTACTTGTCCTTGACTCGCGGTCCAGTCTGTTCCATGCTGCCAAGTGAGTGATTACAGAAAGCTGCTTGGTTATTGTGCTGATCATTGTGTTTTTGTATGACTTTGCTGCTTGTTATAAACGTAAGTTTTTGTATGCAGGGCCTTCGAGCAAGCAGGAATAATGCTGAAGGTGAGTGTGTTGTTGTTGTTGTTGTTGTTGTTGTTTCTGTTGTTTCTTAAGGATTCTAGAGTTTAATTTAAGGGGGTCTGAATACTTTCCGTATCCACTGTATATATATATTTAAAATCATTTGTTCATAATTTAGCGTAATTTAATTTAGCATAATTTTAATTTAATGATTTAACAATTTTAGATCATTTATATTAATATGTATAAATTATAAAATTGATCATTTTTCATTGTTTTGATTTAATTAATTATTAGCTTTATCAACTTACAGACCCCCTGCAGCTTCACCAAACCCAGTTTGGGGAAACACCAACATACAAGTACATGTATTTGTAGTTAATAATTTCTACTCAGTGTTTAAACTGATAATTACACTGTAACAAAGACACCGCAAAATAACTGAACACTATTAAAAAAGCAGACCATGTTGGTTTGAAACAACAAGAGAGGGAGTAAATGATGAAAGTTTCTTTGTTCTGTCGCAGGACATGCAGAGGTTACCCGAGGCTGTGCAGTTCATCGAGAAAGCCAGCGTGATGTACGTGGAGAACGGCACTCCAGACACCGCCGCCATGGCCCTCGACCGAGCCGGGAAGTGTGTGCTTCACAGATCTGCCAGATTCATACAGGATCAGAGCATGTGAGGTGTGTGTGCAGTTAATGAATCCTGTCCTGTTGCAGGTTGATGGAGCCTCTGGATTCAGCGAAAGCCGCTCATCTGTACCAGCAGGCAGCAGGAGTGTTTGAGGTCCGTCACAGCTCCACCAATCACTGCACACATACGTGACCATTATGACCCACTACTGTACAAACATGCATTCCTGTGGTTTTTGATTCCTCAGAATGAGGAGCGACTACGGCAAGCAGTGGAGCTCATTGGCAAAGCATCAAGACTTCTTGTTAGACAACAGAAGTAATCGTTGCTTAAATGTTTGGGAGCATCATTCTTATTTCAGTTTTTCATTTTAATCAGTGGTCTCGTGTATTAGTCTAATACGAGATGAATGATGCCGATTGCAGGTTTGACGAAGCTGCCGAGTCCCTTCAGAAGGAGAAGAACATGTATAAAGAAATAGAAAACTATCCGACGTGTTTTAAGGTGAGTCAGTGTGCTGAGCTGGAAAGCCTGTGCCGTCGCAGGAGCATTACCACACATAACCGTGTCACGTTTGTGCGCAGAAAACAATCGCACAAGTGCTGGTGCATCTGCACAGAGGAGACTATGTGGCGGCAGAGAAGTGCGTGCGGGAGGGCTACAGTATCCCAGGATTCAGCGGGAGCGAGGACTGCGTGGCCATGGAGCAGCTTCTGCAGGGCTACTACGATCAGGATGAAGAGCAGGTGTCTCGCGTCTGCACTTCACCGCTGCTCAGATACATGGACAACGACGTGAGTCTCCCAGCATGCATCTGTGCATGCGTGCCGTTTTCCACGACTAGAGTACAAAGAACAAGAATAGTGTAATGTGCTTCTTAGAAGAGGCACAGATTCTCCTTTAGAGACCGAACCATAATACACGTTATTATCAAAGTGAAAAATTACATTTCTTTTATTTTTTTTACTAAAAAGGAATATAAGTCTGAAATATAACTTCTAACTTATATGTGACCCTGGAGCACAAAACCAGTCATAAGGGTCAATTTTTTGAAATTGAGATTTATGCATCATCTGAAAGGTATTCAGTAAATATTTGGCCGAGATACAACTATTTGAAAATCTGGAATCTGAGGGTGCAAAAAAAATCAAAATATTGAGAAAATCATCTTTAAAGTTGTTCAAATGAAGTTCTTAGCAATGCATATTACTAATCAAAAATTAAGTTTTGATATATTTACAGTAGGACATTTACAAAATATCTTCATGGAACATGATCTTGACTTAATATCCTAATGATTTTTGGCATAAAAGAAAAATCTATAATTTTGACCCATACAATGTATTTTTGGCTGTTGCTACAAATATACCCCAGCGACTTAACACTGCTTTTGTGCTCCAGGATCACAAATTTGGTCCCAAAGTATCAGACATTACTAAAAGATTTAACTTAATTTGAGCTAAATCAGAGACCAAATGAGCTTTTGTTTATTTTATAAGGCAAGACACTTCAGATGATTAAAGGGTAAAAGAGTAAACATTTTAACTAACAAATTAATAAATAATAATAAATGATTACACGGTGCATTAAGACAGTTGTTTTATATGACCAGATTTCTGAAATGTTGGTTGAATATGCAAAGGAGGCATGGTCTAATTAAACATGCAATAATTTGCATTAATTTCCAGAAAATTAATATGAATATTAAATATTAGATTCTTGTTTGATTTTGTTGACATATTAAAATTTTTTTTTTTTTACAGAGGGGGTTTTGGATTTCTCTTTTTTTTTATCACACATTTTTAGGAATAAAATGTTATATAAACCATTGTGAAAAATATAATAGCTTTAGTTAGTTAATTTTTTTTTCTAGCTTAAAATTGATATTTATATCAGTCTTTCTAATCTTTTCATTGCCTCCTATTTGTTCCACTCACACTATCAAGAATTTGGCAGGTACGACATCTAAACTATTTGCATATTACACCTCGACTCCAGATTTCCTCCCTTCAGTAGTTTATTTCCCTTCAGTCCCTCTGTAATGTATTTATCTTCTCAGCTCTTGGTATTAAAAGGCTGTTGTGCTCATGCATCCATAAGAGGTCAGTCTGCAAATGATCTCCTTTATATTTTTATATTAGCTAATTATTAAGTGCACATGGTTTACTGAAGTCGATCCTCAGGGCAGGTCGAGTGCGTGCTGAATACTGGACAGGTGTTGATGTGTAAATGCAAACTGTTAATGAGCTCATGCTTGTGATGTCAATACCCTGCCAATTTCAGAACGACCCCTGGTTGACAGAAGCTGGTTTTTATTATTCCAGTATGCAAAGCTTGCCATCAGCCTGAAAGTGCCTGGAGGAGGAAAGAAGAAACCTGCTGCTGGAGATTCAGGAGCTTCGCCGCCGGAGGAAGAGGAGGATGAGTATGCTGGAGGCCTCTGTTAAAGCTCTAGTCTACCAAACATACTGAGACTCCTCCATGAAGGTGCAAGCATGATCCCTAAATATGATATTCCTGTACTGGAGGTGTTTGTTTTTTTAAGATGCTTTCAGAACGAAGGAGAGAAAAGTCCTTACGATAAGCAGCACGTTTATGCAACATCATCCTCTCTTAAAGGGATAGTTCACCCAAAAATGAAAATTCTGTCATTGATTACTCACCCTCGTGTCGTTCCAAACCCGTAAGACCTTCGTTCATCTTCGGAACACAATTTAAGATATTTTTGATGAAATCCGAGAGCTCTCTGACCCTCCCATAGATGGCAAGGTAACTACCACGTTCAAGGTCCAGAAAAGTACCAAGATGATCGACAAAGCAGTCCGTGTTACATCAGTGGTTCAACTGTGAAGCTACGAGAATACTTTTTTGCGCAGATTACGCTGGATCTGGGTCAGCGCCGCCACACGCTCGCGTCATGATACTGTCGTGAACGCGCGTCCAAAGTGACGCAGCAGAGACGAAAATGCGGAATAAAGTCGTTATTTTTGTATTCTGTGCGCAAAAAAGTATTCTCGTAGCTTCGTAACTTTACAGTTGAACCACTGATGTCACACGGACTACTTTGTCGATCATCTTGGTACTTTTCTGGACCTTGAACGTGGTAGTGGGAGGGTCGAGAGCTCTCGGATTTCATCAAAAATATCTTAAATTGTGTTCCGAAGATGAACGAAGGTCTTACGGGTTTGGAACGACACGAGGGTGAGTAATCAGTGACAGAATTTTGGGTGAACTAACCCTTCAAGTATGCATATTTAGGTTTGCCTTTCACCTATAATGTTAAAATTAAAATTTGTGTTCTAAAGAGTTTTCAGGCAAACCCATATGGAAGCTTGTTTCTGGTAATTCAGACTTTTTCTGTATACACAGAATTGCAAGACAAATGTCTGAATTGTGCAATAAAGTCACAATTACTTTTATTGTTTTATTGCATGGTGGAAACAAGCTTCTGTAAACCCAAACCTGACGAACAGCTTCACAGCTGAATGGGACCTTCTGTGGGTGAATCAGGAGCCGAATCTTTATATGTACAGTATTTTAAACCAGTGCTGGAATACTACACAACTCATTATTTTAAATTATACACTGTCATATGAATATTCTGTATGCTGGAAATCAAATAACAGTGCCTGCCTTACCAAAAAAGGGAATGTATTTACTGTACATTGTGTTAGTAGCTTCAATAGGGTTTAAAATTATTCCATTCATTCTTAACTCAACTTAACTCTGTTATATGGAACTTGAGCTTCGCCAGAAAATGAAGCAGGATGCTGCAAATAAATGCACGAAATGCCTTAAACAACAAAATCTAAGGTTGTTTCTCATGTTCAGATAAGCTTGTTTTAATGAAGAATGTGTGCTTTGAAATAGCAAGGAAACAGTTTCTGTTAATTATGGATTTGCATGGTTTCAGAATACCACTGAATAAAGAGAATCTGTGATTTTTTGCATATTTTAGATGCCTTTTACAGTGACGTCTGAGATTCTGCAGATTTATGCATACAAAATGGTCATTTAAATATATATAACAAAAAACTAAAAAGTGCAACATGTAGACAGACAAATAAGACAATAGTTGGTTTCCAGAATGTGCTTTATGCTCATGATATTGATCCACAATCACACCGATGTGACATCCAGATGAGCGTATAATCCTCCCGAGAACCCTTCAGTCCTCCGTTCAAGCCGAAAACTCAAAAAAATAATAATTTCAATGTCATGTCGTCTCACGAACCCAAGCACTCCTGGGTCCAGTTTTCTCAGAAGAAAAAAGTGGCTAGTGTTCAGTCACCGTCTCCTTTCTTTGTTCAAGTTTACAGCCAGCTACCAGGACAGTATATTGCACATCGCGCGATTAACGAATCTCCCGTTTGGGGCTCCAGACAGGCAGGTGGCGCTAGAGCTCCTGAACCTCTCAGTGCATCTCGCAGTCTTAACGCCGCCTTCCTGCGAGAAGCAGCATCCTCCTTTGGGATCTTTGGGAATTCAGGCAATCCCAGCAGGCTCATTTGGTCTTCTCCCTCGTCCACTTGATCATGGTCTCTGGCGAGCGGTAAAGGAAGATGAGTTTGGCGTACAGGTCCTCCTCCAGCTCCAGCTCGCCGGTTTCCCGCACGAGGAAGATGTCGGTGCAGAGTTTGAGGATGCGGTCGACGCACGGAAGCTCTTCGAACATGATGGAGTGCGAGATGCCGCTGAAGAACTCGCGGACGAATTTCCCGATCACCAGCACCACGGATGCGTAGAGGCCCATGATACTGCAAGAGACACAGCGAGGCCTTACTTACATCTGCAGCCGCGATTCAGAACACAACACAAAATATACACAACAATGTAGCTGCAAGCAGCAATTAAGGGGCCAAGCATAAAAGAGGCAAAATGAGGAGCTAGACCTGGCATTAAAGACATTTTAAGATGATTTTAAATAGTAATATGATTTACTGGTTTATAGGTTTTGAACAATAGGTGGCGCTGTTATTAAATTGATGTGATGTGGTCAGTGTGAGCTGGCAATGGCTTCATTCTTTTTTTTTTTGATGAATCAGATTGAATTCCATAACCTTTTGCCAGCATGGTATGAAGATGATCTGAGACAATTTTCGTAAAAATCAGATAAGCCGTCTAGGACAAGTAAAAAAAAATAAAAAAAATAAAAAGTTTTTTTTTTTTTTTTATAATTTAAAATTAAATACATTTTGGTATGCATTTAACATCACATGAGCCAAGGAATCGGAAGGATATTTAATTTATACAGTGAAGACTATGCAGTGTTTTATTTTACATTTAATTATTCAATTTCTGTAGTATTTTTGTAATTTGCATTTTTGTTCTTATTTTAAGAACAAAAATAAAATAAATATATCTTGTTTATTTTTGCGTCTTTGGAAATTTTCAAATTTTAAGTTTAAAAAAAAAAAATGTCCTGTAAAACTGCATCTAACATGGTATCCTAATTATAAAAAAAAAAAAGAAAAAATAAACTAAATAAATAATTTAGCAAATTTCTGATAGCTACCACCACAAAATCTGTCATTTTGATTGAAAACACACACACACACACTCTCTCTCTCTCTCTCTCT